GACGGAAGCAGGAAGTTGGGAAACTTGTGTTGAAGCCATTTTCAAAGATGTATTGAAGGAAATGAGTATGGAAGGTTACAAAGAGAGATGAGGAATGAGAAGTAAGTATGCAATTGTTGGATGTATTTATAGATATAAGATTGCTCAATTATGTCAAAAAAGACTACCTAAATTGAAGATCATTTTACCATATTTGAAGTAGAAAACATGCAAATATACACAGAAAAGTCCTTGATTTTCATTCTCTTTTTCAAAATTGGTGCCTCCAAAACATTATTTTAAAATATGTAGGATCGTGGGAAAGAGTATATATAATATATTATATTTAGTTTGACACAATTTGAGTCTTGAGTAGAATACTTAGCAGTCTTTATGACTAATATTGCTGTTGTACTTTAGTAATTTGTTGAATTTTCTCGGGGAACAAACAATGAAAAGTTGGTGAAGTAAAGCAAAAGATATACCCCCTGTGGAAGACGGCGTCACTCAAATTTGGTGACAGTCAATTTTGACTCGAACATAATTAATTCATGGTATTCATTTTTTTAAATATAAACTCTACCCTAATTTTGTACAAAATGTCTGACAATATAAAATGAGATGAATTTTAGTTAATTTGTGTTGAATTTAATTCATATCCGAAAATATCTTAAACAAAAAATTATATAAATTTTAATAATTTGAATTTAACACAACAATAATGTTCTATTTTAAAATACGTTAATATGTAAATTCTGAATAGATACTACTTTATAATTACCCTAAACTATTCAAAAATAAAAGAATTTATATTGATCGAATACCAAAATTGACTTATAAATCGAATACAATCTAAAATTAATATAATCAAACTCTTATAAAAATATCTAAACAAGTACCAACCAGTAGTGATGGCAACTACAATATTCCATTTCAATGCTGCAATAATCTTTTATTAAAATAATTTTTAAAATATATTATATTTAATTTAAATCCAAATAATTTTGATAGATTCATAAAATTAATTATTTAAATTATCTTTTAGTTGAATTAAATTCATTAAATACATCATTTTATGTTACAAATGTTTTTAAATATAAATTAGATTGAATTCATATCCATTTCATTGTGTACTGTTAAACATTTTCAATATTGTACAAATTGGTGTAGAGTTGGTCATGTTTGAAATCAGATGAATAATTTGAGCCAAAGTTTGACTGTCACTAAATTATTGTGGCGTCATTTTTATGTGTAACTATTAAATGATATCCAGAAAGAGTTAAAAAGAAAAGGTTGGAATCATTTATAGATTCGAAATGCTTCACCTAGTTGCATTGTTTGTTTCCCGAGAAAATTCAACAAATTACTAAAGTACATCAGCAAGATTAATGATAAAGACTGCTATGCAATCTATTCGGGACTCAAATTGTGTCAAACTAAATATAATATATTATATATACTCTGTCCCACGATCCTACATATTTTAAAAATATTGTTTCTGAGGCACCAACTTTGAACAAGAGAAATTAGAAAACAACGACTTTCTGGGTATATTTGCATGTTTTTTTACTTCAAATATAGTAAAATGTTCTTCAATTTAGGTAGTCTTTTTTGACAAGAATGAGCAATCTTATATCTATAAATACATTCAACAATTGCATACGTACTCTCATTGCTCATCTCTCTTTCTAACCTTTAAAGAGTAGGCTAAGGCATACTCATTTCCTTCAATACATCTTTGAAAATGGCTTCAACACAAGTTTCCCAACTTCCTGCTTCCGTCATTCCGTTGGACAATGAAAATCGGCCCAAGGCCGATTTTCACCCCGGCATTTGGGGTGATATGTTCATCCAATGTCCTAACACGGTAACCTATTAATTTTTTCTTTACAAACTTTTGTTATTGTTTTATTAGATTTTATTTCAGAGATGTAATAGATTTTTATATTTCGTACTTGAGCAGGATATTGATGCTACAACTGAATTACAATACGAAGAATTGAAAGAAGAGGTGAGGAAGATGATTGTGGAACCCATTAATGATTCAAACCAAAAGTTACCCTTCATTGATGCAGTTCAAAGATTGGGTGTGAGCTATCATTTTGAGAAAGAGATTGAAGATGAACTGGAGAAAATTTACCATGCCGTCGACAGCAAGGAAGTTGACAATGATCTCTACATCACTGCTCTTCGGTTCCGTTTACTTAGAGAGCACGGCTTCCATGTTTCCTGCGGTAATTAAGCCCTTAAACTTTTATGATTTAAGATTATAGAACTCTACATTCTTTAGTGTTTGATGATGAGTTTGTGTGATTGAGCAGACGCATTCAACAAGTTGAAGGATGAGGAAGGGAATTTCAAGGCATCATTGAGGGGTGATGTGCGAGGATTGTTGGAGCTTTACGAAGCTTCGTATATGAGGATCCATGGGGAAGACATACTTGATGAAGCCATTTCTTTCACCACCGCTCACCTTACACTTGCATTACCAACTTTAGACCATCCTTTGTCGGAACAGGTCGACCATGCCTTAAAGCAGTCGATCCGAAGGGGGTTGCCGAGGGTGGAGGCTCGAAAATTCATTTCGATATACGAAGATATCAAATCCCATAACAAACAACTGCTTCAGTTTGCAAAGATTGATTTCAACATGTTGCAACTTCTGCATAGGAAAGAGCTAAGTGAGATCTGTAGGTAAGGGTTTCAACAATCACACCATTGTTGTTTACATTTTCTTTTCTTTCTCTTACGAACGAATTAAGCTCTATTTTTAATGATTGTTTTTAGGTGGTGGAAAGATTTAGACTTTACGAGAAAACTTCCATTTGCAAGAGACAGAGTGGTTGAAGGTTACTTTTGGATTATGGGAGTCTACTTCGAACCTCAGTACTCTCTTGGGAGAAAGTTTTTGACGAAAGTCATTGCCATGGCTTCTATTGTTGATGATACATACGATTCATTTGCTACATATGATGAACTCATTCCCTATACAGATGCCATTGAAAGGTTAGATTTCTTGCACTATAAATTAACATTCATTTTGCCAAATTCGAATCCCAACTAAAGCCTTGGATTTGAAATTAACGATGAAATTGTGTGTTCCAGGTGGGATCTTAAATGCATGGATCAACTCCCAGATTACATGAAAATAAGTTTTGAGGCACTGCTAGATGTTTATGAAGAAATGCAACAACTATTGACGGATCAAGGGAGACAATACCGCGTCGAGTATGCCAGAAAAGCAGTATGTAGATGATCAGATTTGCATTAATCGTGACCATATAAAATCTGAAATGTTGAATACTAATTTACCGAATCTTGATTCCTCAGATGATACGCCTCGCTCAAGCTTACCTTCTAGAGGCCAAATGGACACACCAGAACTACAAACCAACGTTCGAGGAGTTTAGGGATAATGCATTGCCGACATCCGGCTATGCCATGCTTGCTATCACGGCGTTTGTCGGCATGGGAGATGTCATAACCCGCAAGACCTTCGAATGGGCCGCCAATGACCCTAAGATCATCAAAGCTTCCACCATCATTTGCAGGTTCATGGACGACATAGCTGAACACAAGGTATGCTTCATATTCCAAAAATCCAAAACAGTGACATTTGGGGTCTGCATCTGCTAAATCAATCGTAATGTTTCATATGTATGGGTGCAGTTCAAGCATAGGAGAGAAGATGATTGTTCAGCCATCGAGTGTTACATGGAACAATACGGAGTGACAGCGCAAGAAGCATACGATGAATTCAACAAACACATAGAGAGTTCATGGAAAGACGTCAACGAAGAGTTGTTGAAACCAACAGAAATGCCGACACCGGTTCTTTGCCGGAGCCTCAACCTTGCCAGGGTTATGGATGTGCTTTACAGAGAAGGCGATGGTTACACGCACGTCGGGAAAGCTGCTAAAGGCGGGATCACTTCTTTGCTTATCGACCCAATCGTGCTTTGAACATCGAAAAGTTGGCGTCTAAGAAATAAAATTAATGAAATTTGTATTTAACTAAAAAGGAAAAGTATGAGTTCATCACTTTTTTTTCCTGATTTTCATTCTTTTATATAAAATAACGAAGTCAAAACTATTTGTACTTTGCCTCCTTGTATTGCAATAAAATTCTTTGGTAATATTCTACATATAGTGGGTCCAATTTAATTCATAAACATCTCAAAGTGAGATATTAAAAACATCAAGTAAAAATAATTTATGGGCTGTTTAGAAAATATACCCATCTTATTAATAGCCGAAACGCATGCATGCACCTTACTTTTAGCGTATCAAATTTGCCTTGGCCCTTTCTTCTCATTATTTGGACTGCTTGAATAAAACAATTCCTTAATTTCCAAAACTTATTGGATGAAGAGAATTTATTGTATTCCAGAATTTGCAAGGCATTGCATCATTGATTACTTTTTTACTACACGGCGTGCTCTGTATGTTGCCTCCTCTATCCCTTTTTCTCCTCCTTATTCCGTTCATTTTTGAGTCCTTGCGATGAAATCATGCAAGCTATGGCCAAGTCTAATGGAAATAATCTCCCTAAAGGGACAATCCTAGCAGCAGATGACGACAAAGTTACTGATACTTCAAACGATAACCGGAGTTGTTAAAAGGAGGGAAATGGCTCCATCGTCATTGTAATCCGATCAGAGCAGTATTCGACTATTCCTAGAGATCACAATCAACTTCACTTGCTCGGTTGTGTACTATGGCCCTAGCTTGAATGTCGTCAACCTAGAAACAATCTTCACCCAAGTGTCCTACTTAATGCAGGGGAAATGTTTGCATTCAAAATAACAGTTCTGTTTGCAGTTTTAGATTAGGGTTTGATAGGGGCTCAAAAGGAGCCCAGATATCTCTTTACCATCTATATTTCTTATAAATATCAATATTTAATCTGGAACTATAGTGATTAGCAACTAAGCAAACAAATCCACCAATGAACTCATATAGCAATTCAAAGTCTGAAATAACAACATAATGCAATGGATACTCAAAAAAGACATGAAAACTTATCTAATTCAAAGGATTTGATTTTCAGAATATTCATGAATAATATATCTCAGTTCATCACATTATAGCAAGTTCAAGTCTAACATGACAACTTCGTACTTAATTTCCTTTTTCTAGAAGCACATAATAGGTGTCTAAACCCGAAAGAATGAGAATGCATGTTGCAGAATTATTTGAGTCATTCAAGTCCTATGAGTTATAGGTATTTGAATTAGTCATGTTGTTCTGTCACGGAGTGCGTTCTGGCCGAGGTCTTGCATACTCGGCAAATATAACCCAACCGTCCAGGAACTGCAAAAAAAAAAAAAAAAGAATCAGTGTAAGGAGGTAGAGAGAATAGGATAATTTACTTTCTGCAATAAACTATAGTGCTTTAAAAGTAAATGAATACAAGGATGTATCCTGACAGAGTTCTGTAGAAGAATTTAACATATTTGAAATAAGGGTACAGTTCTCAACAGAATAACCATTACAACCTTGCAATTGTAAATTCGTAATATAGTCTTAACACTTCAAATCACTACAAAGAGCCATGGAATGGATGAATGAACACTTAAAATTACCTCACGGCAACGTAAATTAAAGAACTAGAAGGTAGCTCACCTTGCCATCCATTCCCACTCTTCCTTTCTCAGCCTCTTCAATGGTGGCATATCTTACAAAACCAAATCCCTTGGAATATCCGGATACCCGATCAGTCACCACTCTAGCTGTAACATTAACGCCCCCCCCCCCAACAACACAAAAAAAAAAGCGAGAAAAAGCGATGGTTAATAACATCCAAAAGACGATTTTCAATTATTTATAAGCAGCCACAAACCATCAATTACTCGTCCAAAGGGAGAAAAGGCTTCCCGAAGCTTCTCTGTAGTAGTGCGCTTGTTAAGACCTAAAAACAAATCCAAAAATATAAATGATATCGTAAAATGAACCAAGGAAAGTAAACAAATGACTCTAGTCAACATATATATAACTGAAGAAGTTTACACAAATCCAATTACTAGCATAGATCAATATCAGGAAAGTACAGCTTTAAGGCCTAAAGTATTAATGCTAAATCAATTCTAGATTGATGGCATATGCTTCAATGGTATCCCTATCAGAACACAAAAACTTAAGGATGGCTAAACGAACTTAATTACGGTTTAGTCAGTTGGACAAAATGGATGATGAGAACCAACACAAGAAGGGAACTCTGCATGTTACATATTTCCGGACAAACAAAAAGGCATTTAGTATTAAAGCTAAAAGGATCATGAAATACACTCAGACTAATAGATACTTTCTTCAGCTGGAAAAGGTTTTAACAGTTTTTTTAGCTTACAAGAATTCAACTCTCATTTTTCACTTGAACTTCACAAATTGATTACATGAGCTTTTATCAAATGAACACCCGGGCTGTCCTACTCTCTAATTATTTCGACCCTTAAGCTTACTGCACCCGAGTACTAAGTCTGCGACAACTAAATCAGCTCAAATAATTCAATAGAAACCCCCTTAGTGGCCATGAAAGTGTGAAATCCTCTATCCCTTCTTTTCTTCTTATGCAACCAGCACGATAGTTGCACTTTCGCTTTTGCTGCTCACAACTTGGAATTATGCACTTCAATTTACATATGAAATTCATGTTTCTTAAAATAAAGTTCTCATTTTTGCTTCACACCACGAAAGAGGTGCCTAATACCAAATCAGAAACTGCAAATAAATATCTTATTTTCCTTCCAACTCTTTAAATGAATTAGAGGTAGTAAATATCAATCCATCAGTGCTTTCATTTATGACCAGTTAATCGACCATAGCAAAAAGACCCAAATTTTCCGACAACCCAAAAAAGAACGAGAGCAATTAAATCAAACCCATTAAAAGTAGCAACTTTTTTTCCATATTCCCACAGTTTCCCAGCAACTAAGCTAATGAACCAACATAGCAGCAATACCAATAAAAAACATAAAGGAACACTTGAGAAACTAAAAGTTATGATGGGTATAGATGGGAAAAAAGATTCGTGCCGGAGACAAAGAGGTTAGTGCTAGGAGGAGCTTGCTCTCGACCAGGGGTTCCTTCACCGTTCCCCATCGCCGCAATAGGCGGCGGCATGAAGGAATTAGGTGAAGCTATCGAGAAATGTCGTATAGACCCCCTTGGAGACACCCGGGCAGCCATCGCCATCGTCGCCACCGCTCTCAAAGCCATCAGGGAGGATTTTACCGGGGATTATGGGATGTGAATCAGGGTTTATGGCTTTGAGCTAAAACCTATTTTTCTGGCACGCAAAGAGGGGTAAAATTGTAATTGAGCTTATAAATGGAAGGGTCTAGATAAGTTACAAACTGGGCCTTCAGTTTATATATAAAAATTGAGATTTGATTTCTTTCTAATTTTGGAAGTATGGGCCATGGACCATAACTATAGAGATTTTTACTGATTATCATATAAGAGGCAAGTAGTGTCCAACATATTTTTCTAGGGTAAATTCGAATTTAGTCACTTAATAATTATTGTAGTTCCATTTTAGTCAACTAATTATTTTTTCTTCAAAATTATATTTTCCATGATGATGTTGCTGTGACTGATCTTGTAGAAGATTCTTTCCCCGAATTCAATTTGGGAATTAATAATTAATAATAAATGATAATTTTACTTAAATTTAAATAAAACATATTTTAACAGTGATACGTTGTGGTTTCGGAACAATTTAAAAGAATTAGTGAACTCGGTAGGTTTATTGTGTACTCTGCTACAAGTTGTGGGAATGATGAAGACTTGTTTTCTAGTAAGCTAGCGCGAGAATCATATTCTTCAATAAATCCTGCAACCATTGAAATAATAACATCTTAATACAATGAACTTCAAAGAGTTTTTTTTTACAAGCAAATCATTACTGCAACACTGACCCTGATTTACAAGCAGAACCATATCGCTATCGAGAACGGAAGTTATTCGATGGGCGATTATTATAACCGTACAGTCGGAGAAGTGCTCCTTTAAGGTTGTCTGAATCAGGTTATCAGTAGCCGTATCGACTGACACGGTAGCTTCATCGAGTACTAAGATCTTACTTTTCTTGAGCAGAACACGCCCAAGACACACCAGCTGCCTTTGTCCCATACTCCAATTCTCTCAGTTTTCACCAACTGCAGGAGCAATGCCATAAATAACATAAACTTTGCTAAAATTGTATGTTATATTACTGAATATTGTGCCTGAAGACTCGATATTGCCTTCCTTCTTTCTAATTTCACCCCCAAGTTGGCACTTATCCAATGCCTACAGAATTCGAATACTGATGTCGCATTTCGCTATAAAAGAAACGGTATGGATAAAACATAAAATGAACTCACCTCCCATATCTGTTCATCTGTGTACTCTTCGAGAGGGTCCAAATTACTCCGTACAGTCCCTTCAAAAATGGTAGGATCCTGAGGAATGATGTTGAGTAGTAACCGCAAATCATACAGTCTGATGGATGAGATATCAACACCATCGATTATAATCAGGCCTGCTGCAGGCTCAACAATCCGGAAAAGTGTTTGTATGAGAGTTGTCTTGCCACTCCCTGCTCTACCTACAATGCCGGTTTTCAACCCTCAGGGAAATGTGCATGTCAACCCTCGTAACACGGCATGTGCGGGGTGTACAGCATCTACATCGACCATCATCATAAATTTCCGAAACTAATGCATTAAAACTAGTCATAACCATTGTACAACTGCAGTACCTGCAGATCATAAATACGGACTTCTCCACGAAACGGCGAAGATCGGTCGGGGCTATTAGTTTCGATCGCAAGGGAGGGCTCTCTAGGGATGCTGTTGTACTGAAGAATTCTCTCGATAGATATAATTTTATTATCCACACTGCAAATATTTCATACTAACATAGCTTGTAACATATTTAGAATGAGCCCGTACGTCACAGCTAAACCAGCAATGCCTAAAAACGAAGGAAAAATGTATTCAACCATTTTTACATTACAATGAACTAAAATGAAGATGCCGACCTGCAATCACTTACTGGATCAATAATTCCCATAGATACCAAAAAGAACAAATAGAAGGCAAAAGTAATCGAAGACAACGTGTCGAGGCAGAAGCACAACCATTCCACTTCAGCGGTAGCATGAAATCTCCGGCGAGAAATCACATCCATTAGTATCATGTTCGTCTGCTGGAACCTTGATTCTTGATTGAAGCTCCTGATAGTCGTTGCCCCCAAAATTATTTCGAAAAAATTCCATATTATTGGAGCTCTGCATACTCCAACCAACATTGAAAGTTCTCGAGCAAACGATATGTAATATTGCTGCAAGATTACAAGTTCATGAGAATTCGATATCCACAATTTGATATTCAACATGGTAGAACAAGATTTACCTGATACCAAATGTAGGTAGCGGTCATAGGTACAAAAATGATAAGGATCTGCCAAGCAACCAGAGACACGATAGCAATGATTCCAAGGAGTCGGATAACTGAGAAGGAAAAACTCGTAACCTGATTCGGGATGTTCAAATCCACAGCACTTTGATCTGTTGAAGCCTGATAGAACCAAGGGAGACATGTTAAAAACAGAACATGAATGAAATACATGAAATCCAGACTAAAAACACCAGATACTAACTCTGTTCAGGATTCTTCCACTAGGTGTTGAATCGAAGAACGACATAGGAGCACGGAAAATGCATGAATGCATCTTTTTTAATAGAAGAGTGGCAGTTTATATCCAGCTATTTTAACTAGGATGGATCTGAAAAGGAAAGTAAAAGCACTTGCAATGGCCAAAGCTAAATAGACAAGTATTAGTGTAAGGTTCCTGACCGGATGTTCGGCATCGGTAGACACCGGAGATGCCCAAGCCATCCAGTAATTGCAACCGATTTGAAAAACCTGAAAGACAATTTGTGCCATCAATATAAAAGGTATAAGAACACCTCCATATGTTATTGTGATATACTTACAGTAGACCGAAAACCCCACTTTTCATTTCTCTCGTTCTTCTTCAACAAGCTGTCCTTTTGGCACATCGTCTATGTCGTCATCCTTAGAACCTTCATTTCTTTCTTTATGCATTTCCCGAATTACGGTTCCCCCCAACCCTCTGCTTTACTACCACACTTTTCAGAAATAGATCTTGCCTCATAGGCATCAAGGACGGACAAAGCTTTCTCATGTGCACCCACCAGTTCCATAAAATTCGACCCCAAAGCGAGAATATCGTTATACTTTTCGGCTTGTGTAATCCTCCCATTTTTCATCACTTATTAAAACAAGTAGAAGCTGAACTTTGTAACTACATTGTGTTTCATGATTGTGAAGCATAGGGTAAATAGCTTACCAGGATTAGATCAGCAGCTGGTAGAAATTCAACTTGACGAGTGACATAAATCACTATTTTTGAACTCATAATTCCAAGTAAAACTTCCTGCCATTCCAAAACATATATGATTAGGCAATGCACCATCAAAAGGCAGAAATATCAATTGATTTTACCTGAAATAAACGGGATCCTATGTGAGCATCCACAGTACTAAAAGGATCATCAAGAAGATATATATTCGTGTCCTGGAATAGAGCACGAGCAATCAGTATTATTTGCTTCTGTCCGCCACTTAAATTGATTCCTCTCTCATCTATAACTGTCTGATCACCGAATGAGAGGACTTTGAGATCCTTGTTAAGGTTACAAGCTTCGAACACTTGTTTGTATCTCTCCCTTTCCATCTCTGTGTTCGAACAATATGTTGTTTTCAATCTTGCAACTTTGTATCCAAGGCGACTGAGGAACATAGGCTTTTGTACCACACAACTTAAGTGTTCTGGATATCTTCGGTAATTCCCCCAAAATGAAGGAAAGTAGACTCGACTTGCCGGAGCCAACCGTACCACAAACAGAAACCCTCATACCATAGAGAACTTTCAAGTTTATGTCTTGAATTGTTGGAGTGTGAGGAGACAAGTCCCATGAGAAATTCCCATCAATGATCACGATTGCTACATCCTAGCTACCTCTTGGAAGCTTCTCCATAAGATCAGGCTGCAAGTCATCGAGCTGAAGGAAGGATGCGATTCGATCAAGAGACACCTTTGTCTGAACTATTGTTGAGATCAAATCAGGAAGGTTGTAAATTGGTTCTTGAAGAATCCTGAACGTTGCAAGTGAAGATAATATCTTCCCGGACTTGAGTGGGATACCTAAATATATACAAGCACCGAAAGTGGCTAAAGAAACAAATGAAGGTGCAACCCAGAAAACAATGATTGACATAGTATTAGTATAAGCAAATAATTTTAACCATCATTCCTTAGCCCGATAATCTTCGACAGAAACTGCATTCCCACCCCTGAAGTTTGAGAATTCTTATGTTCCTCAAAACTTCAGATGTGGCCTTCATTCTTTCATCTTTCGATTTCATCAATTTCTTCTGAAAGTTCTCTTCCATCCTCCCCAAAGGAATGTTAGCCAACATAACAAGTACTATTATGATAAAAGCTGCAATGACTGCTAGTCCAAATCTTTTGTACAAGACCAACAAGGCCAAAACAACTTGCAAAGCCAACATCCATGGATTGTGCATGTAATAACAAAATCTGCCCATCCTCTCGGCATCGACCGAGACATAATTGATGATCTCCCCGCTGGTCTGGCTCTGCTTTGACGGGCATGAAAGAGTTAGACCGTTGTTATAAATCATTGCAATCAGCACTGTTTTCCACCTAATACTAATTTGGTGTAACTTAAAAACCGAAAAACGTATTAGTTATACACTCTATGAGTTTTGTAACAAAGAATGCAGTAACCAGAAGATACACTACATTTTCGAACTCCCGTTATAACATCCCAAAAGTCGGGTCAATGACCAAAATAATATTTTGGTAAAACGTAGTGACAAATCTCAAAAAAGATTGAGAGTTCAGAAATTAATTGGAAGTTTTAGATGTTGGACTTGATAATTAGATTTGAAAATAATAAAGGGTATTATGGCCATTTCATAGGGAATATTTTTATTTCCCTTTATAAAGGGTAATAGGCATATGGGAAAGGAGAGAAGTTCTCCGGAGTCTTCTTCAGTTTCTTCTTCCTTCTCCCAGTCGTAAACTCCAACTTGCAAAGGAAAGATTTCTTAGAAGTTGATTATTAACTGAAATTTAAGTTGGGTTTTGATCATTTGATAATAATTAAGCTTAAGGAAAGCTTAATTTATCTTAAAACCATAAGATGAAGAAGTTAAGAGAGATTAAAGATTAGAAGTTTTTAAATGAAATTTTGGAAAAGAGTTGATAAGTAG